CTACGAAGCAGAAGATAGTTCAGGGGTTTCGGTACTACACGCGGGGATGATCACCCCGGGGCGAATTTGCATTGTGGCCGAACGCTTTGTGTTTGAGCTGCACTGCCAGCCCTATCCCCCCCGTTGCATCTGGTTCGTTGGTTGGCTGGTACGGTGCACTTTAATCCGAGGAAAACCGTCGATACACCCCAGCGAGCGTACAACCAACGCCGATCCTCGCGATTAAATTAATGATTCCGCGGTGTACGTGGCGTGATCCGACGAAAAACGGGGAAAGTTAAGCGATTTTTTTATCTCTGATTGCTTATATTACGCTGAAGAATCGCGAACGGTGTCAGGAATTAGCGTATCTGTGAGATATTGACAGGTATGATACATGGGAAAGGAATAATGTTTGGTGTTTTCTTTGACGGATGATAATATCGGTACAATTGTGAATAGTACTGAAAAACGATGCATTATGATGCAGTATGGGAATTGGAGGTTGGAAATAAAACGATCTTGTCGGCAACATTCCTTTCCCGTTTTTTGTCAGACGATGTATGTCAATGTAATCGTAGACAGCTGTAAAGAATCGACATATTGACATGAAACTCCTTGTAGAAGCGAAAACCCCAATCAGCTCGTGGGAAAATTTCCTTCCCACTTCCAACGCGTCTATCGATTTTCAATCGCCGCGATTGAATTAATCATCGTCCGTGTTCGAAGTGTGATCGACGGAACACGAAAAAAGCTGGCCAGTTTTTTTCCGATTGTCAATAGTACCGGACGAATCGCGAACGGGCGTTAGAAATCAGTGAATATCGATGCAACGGAGAGAGGAAACGGTCGTGGACATGAAAATAGTGACAAGCTCGCGCAGCAACTTTCGGGCACGCGTTGCATCGGCAGCTATCGGCTGGCAATCTTATCACGATCCAGCCGGTCCGATATTGCGAAGAAATTATTAAAGTCTCCTCCACCGCGCACGATACCCGCAGAATTCGGATCAAATCTGATTTAACCCGGTCGTAAATTTACAAGCTGTACGAGAGTTCGACGCGACCGCATTACAGATTCAAATTACCTGGTGCTAGCTTTCAACGAGTGCCATGCTCTCGTGGAAATTCCACCTTTTTGTTACGTCTCTGTTTTATGATCTACGCAGCAAGCTCTGGATGTTAATTAAAATTTATGTTGGGCGAAAATGGATGAATGAATTTATTGTTCTAGAAACGAGTTTTGTAAGGCTCCGAATATTAATAATAATCTTCTACTAATCATTTCTTATACTGTCGCCTCGGAAAGGAAGTTAACGTTCCCTTTAAACTGTTTAAATTCAGGAAAAATAATGAATATTTTATTGGTACGAGACGAGACGTTTTTTTATTTCTTTTGTCATTTGTTGAAAATTCAGTAGAGTGTGGTAGATTTATTTTAGCAGCATCTTCGAGAAATATTGTATTAAATACGGTTGGGCGTTAACTTATGTGATAGGTATTTCGACTATTTCAAAATGAATACAGAGTTTCACAAGAACAGAGAACAATTTATTAGTACGCTTAATAATTTCCAAGGCAACTGTATGTTCACAAATCTCAAATGGGATTTTATCAAAGAATTACTTTGAAGTTTATTATTCGGAAAATTGATTTATATGTTCATTTTGGCACTAAATGTATGAATAAAATAAGAGGAATATGCTTCATACTACCAAGAATTTGATCCACTTTATTCCATCCTTCAAAATCAATAAGAATGGAACGACAGTAGCGAACTAACGAACCAAATACCTGTGGGTGCGGAGGGAGAAACTAAACACGGGAGAAAAACAAACAGGTGTCGTTCGCAGTCCGTTGGTACACAAACATTGACTGTATGGAGAGACAAAAAGATTTAACTAGATTTGGATTAATTGTAAATTAACATCACGTCATGTGAGTGCCAGATGATAGAGAAGATATTTAGATGACCCGTTTTAAGCGGAATACCCTGTATATTCACTGTTACTGTTCCCGTGGCCGTGCACCTGTTCATTTTACCGTTCCCTTGCACAAATCCAAAACTATAGGGAATATAATAAACTACGTGATTAACACTAGGTTTACGGACATTTCTTATATACCTATCTCTACGTACACTTGGTCAAAGAAACCGTAGATTTTCTTTAAAAAACAACTTATTTTATTTAATACTCACTTTAACAATCGCGTCAAATTAACGCGTATCCGTACATATACCACATAGAAAATTTCAAGATTAGAAAGCATTCGAAATGCGTGAAAATGATGCGTCCCGTAAACCTAATGTGAACGCAGTTTGAAAACCAGCAGACAAAAAGCCCGTGATTAAATCAAACATCCGGTACGAACCGTTCGCGCGTGGTGGCATGGTGCAGTAAACTCCCGAAGGAAAATTCAATCTTGCAATTGAAGAGGAAACGTGGCCGGGAAGACTCTGCCGGGGATCCCGTCTGAATGGAAAACGAATCACTCGGAAAAGTTTTAGTCGCGCACAGATCAGTCCGTCGAGGCGAGAAACTTCCCGTTTATTCGGTATAATCCGTTCGAAAGGGTACGAAGTGCAGGGAAGCAGAGTGGCAGCTCCTCCGATCAACTTTTTCAAAGAGGCTTCGTCGTGCAGAGGGATGGAAACAGTGACGAGACCAGAGAAAAAGCGAAGACTGCCCAAACAGAGGGGGCTTGGTTTCCGTTGTGCACGCGTGTCACCGAAGAAAAGTAGAATACAATCGGAACACGGAGAGGTCCTCTGCCCAACAATGCGTAAAGTTTCAGGGAAAAGTCCGTCCTCCTAAACCGGTCGACGTGTTCGGCCGCGTCGCACAATGCGACCATTACGGAGGGTCGGAAGGAAAGAAGTTAGGAAAGTTTCGAGCGAAGACCGCCGCGACGGAGTTGAAATTCTCGTCCGGTCGGAGGTGTCGGGGATTGGCAAGAGAGAGAGACAGACATGAAACTCGTAAAACCTAACGCGCATCGCATTCAATCAACGTCCGTTTGTGGCTGTGCAAACCGACCGACTTTCCGCGTGATGATTTCGCGTTCGCTTAACAGCGTCTCGGGAACAAACGAAAAAAAAAAAAACAATTTCTCTCGCTTCGGATACGCGAACACAGTGTGGCAGCTGGCGTGCCTCGATGGAGCGCGCGGAATAATCGTGACGCGTATGAGAAAGAACGCACATGGCTACCCGAGCTTTCGAATCGTTGTTTTCGAACAATTTCCACTGTTTTCATAAGCTCCCGCTAACGTTGGAACTCTTGTCGAGGTTTGCTCTTTTTTTTTTCTTTGTGTCCCGCTTGTGCGCGCGCGTGCAATACCAAGGGACCTTGCGGGGGGGGGGGGGGGGGGGGGGGAGAATACTCGAATCGCTCCCTCAGACTCTAATTAACTCGGATATTGACCAGAACTCTGGCGTATATCAACGTGGGCACATGTATGAGAGCGCGCACGCTTTTTAGCCCTAACCCCTTATCCGTCCACTCATTGCAAACACACGCATCGGTCTACGGTACACAAACGAGGGAAAAACCGGCAAAAAAGTGCCACCAATTTATCAGGCTTCCACGTTTTTATCGTTGCGCCGTTTTCACGAACCTCTCGAGCGAGCGGTAGGTTGGGGTGCCAGGGGGTTGGAATAGCGTAAACGTCAAAAACTTGGCGATCACGTGCACCGAGACGTGACACCGGTATATGATATACGAGAAGAGTCGTTTTTGAATGCGTAACGAGAGAACGCTACGGAATTGCATTTTTTTCGGCCGAGACGTGTATTGAACGTGTTTTGTGCTTGTTAAGTCACCGCTGTTGTCATCGACGATACCCAGGGGGAGGAACAGAGGAATTACCGGATGGCTGGCATCGATGTTATACGACCGACGAAAGCCGGATGCGGAAGAGAGCTTCGACAACGCTAACGAGAGAATTTTTATCAATCAAAAAGGATGGTGAACGCCGCATGTATTGAATTCGGCGGTGGAATTGCTTGTTCCAAGTTTGAAGTTTCTGGTTGGGACTTGGTTGTGTGGGAAATAAGAAGGGTCGTCTGGTAGATAAACAGAACGCATCCTTAGAGGAAATGGGTCATGAGTCGAAAATTTATAATTGTTATTTTATTGCGTGAAATGTCTTTGAGTACGTAGATTCACCGTCTAGAAATACGTCACAAGTTGATGTCCAATATTTCGAGCGAGATTGGACTAGTGTGACTTTAATTAATACATGAAATGCTACGTAATGAATGAGTTTCTTTACGCTGTTCTGAAAAATTACATGTTTTCGACTTGTGACACTTTTCTTGCGGCGGTGCAATATATGTTCGTAATGTGATAACAAGTGAGGAAGTGTTAGAGATACCTGTCCACAAATTTTTGTACGGAAAAGTGAATGAACGAATGTAATCAGTATTTGTTAATAAATTTAATGAACTTTATGGGATAAGTAGAAGATTTAATGCTTAATGAAGATTAATGATCGTTATTCACACACACTACACTGCGGATTTTGATGCAAAATTACATTTTAGAAAGTTGTTCATAAAGACAAAAGTAGGAATTTCCTTCTTCCCTTAAACTTAAGTATCTCATTGGTTTAAAGAAATAATAAAAAAAAACTCGTTGCATCTAACGAAAGTACTATACTATAGAGCCTATAAGGCTATAAATGCATAAAATCCGTAGTCTAGTCATCACTATAAATCAACGATCATACACAAAGATTTACGTCTATGTACTCGGAGGTAACTAAAACCAGTTGAATAAATGTTCATAAATTTTGCATAAATTGATAGCCACTGTCGATTAACACAATTATCCAATTCATAATCCAAGGATTAAAAAGAGCAATTTTTGTCGCGTGTTATTGGCGTTTGCCCCGCTCCCCCACCCCTCATATAAAATTCCACTTGAAAGCGCATCGATCATCGACTTCTCAGAACGCCCGACACGTTCCACGTTTCGCTCTTATTGAACGCCGCGCGGTACTTATTGCAATTTCACTCACCGCCCTTCGGCGTAGGGAAGATGTTGAAGGTGGAGTCCCGTACCCAGGACGTGACCGCCACGTATTCCTTAACGAACGTCGGTATCTCGCACCTGAGCACTCCGGTATTTCCTTCCGGGACGTATAGGTCTCGCACCTGGACCTGGTACTTCTGACGCACCACTGAAAAAGGAAGTTACGATCACTTCGCTGAGAAAAAGCGAGAACCACGAGGCCGCGTTAACGTGCCCCGGCACATTTCGCTGTTCGTCGGGGGATGGGGGGAAAAAAGGTTGAAGGAAGCCCGGTTGCATCATCGAGGGAGGAATGAAGACGTCGAGCTCGCGCGGATGGCGGAATGATCAAGAACGTGGAGAGCTTCAAAGACGTCTCCTTGTGACATAACGCATTCTTAACTGCACGACTGGAACCTTTATAGCCTTCTTTATGTCACTATTTCAAAGTGACTTCAATATCTAGCCTGATACACACTACCGGGAGAAAGCATCGGACCAATTGTTACCCAACGAACGGAGGACAATATCATTCTGCGATGATTCGATGAAATTACAATGACGAAATGGAAATTGTTGCTGTATCGATTGGTTCCAGAAGTTTTATTGAAACGTTGGAAAATAATGTTTTACTACCTTCTCAACCCTTTCAAGCCTAAGTACATTCGCAACGCACGGACGCTGTATAGTTTAATAGCAGATGTCTGTACATTAATTGTATACTATCGCTTCAATGTTTTATGCAAATACTGCTAGCGTGCTGACAGTTTTTGAATTTTTATCAGACTTACGCTGGAGCGAAAGATTGAGGTATATAAACATTTTATAGCGAACATTGGTATCGGACACGTATATGGGTACTTATTCTACAGCGAACGTTTCGTCGAAACCGATATATGGGATCACACTCGTGAATGGGTTTACTATATAGCCAGGTTTCGTACTTTTGACTGGTAATTTATCTTTTGCCTAATCTCTTCGATTACCATCTTTTTTTAATGAGTTCTCTCGCCGAAGTTGCTTCAGTATTAATAATTTCCTAAAAGCAATATCAGTTTTATATTCATTGCAACTGTACGCTTCCTATAAAGTTGAATATCAAGATCAACAAAGTAGTATTTCACTTTGATTTGTTGTTAAAATCCAGTCTATAATCGTCTCGATGAGTCTGGCTCGATATTAAAGACAAGGGGTAAAATTCTTCGTTTAATATCACACAATAGGGACACGAATCACGATAAAAATTATTAAACACGCTTTTATGATCTCGTAACGTTTGATTGTACATTTTAGACTCCGTTAAAGACTGCTCACTTTTATCATTTTATTGCATCGTAAAGCTCGATTCACGAACAAAAAGAAACATCACCGTCGTTCGTCCAAGACTTTCACCTAGACACGAATTTCTTATCGACCACGGTATTATCAATTAATATGTTCTTTATGACGACCTCAAATTTCCCATCCGTGAATCAATAATCGTAAAACGTGCGCCCCGATGATTCAGGCGTCGATTACACGGAGCCAATTTACTTGTGAACTCATTGATGTTGCGTAACTCCGATTCGAATAAATACTCTTTATGTAACATGAACGATAAACTATTTTGCTAGTGAACGTTATTATATCACGGTTTCCATGAAGTGGAACAGATATGATTATGATGCGGATGATTATGCACTCGCAGTTATGAAAACATTAAAACTCTTAATAGAGGAAAAAAAATTCTGTTCAGTATTGATTTTTGTATTTAACTTCCGCGACTTATTTGAGACAATACACGACTACTTTTTTCGCGACATGATATCACACGTAGCAAACTCACTAGGCAAGTTTTCTAGTTGGATAGTAAACTCACCAACGAGTAGCGAGTAAAGTAGGAAAAGTCGACAACTTCATCTCACCATCATCGTCCATTGACAACTTAACTCTCGAACAACAGATTATCCGACAATGGCATAGGATGGCCCTTATCGGGTCAACGATTTGTTCGTACAAATTACTTTCACATATCATAATATTTATTATGGATAATCTCTAACTATGGAAGTTCAGAGTTCTTTGGTATGTTACCAATATATAGATAAAGAAAAGAATTCCTTCAAAAGAATTGAAAAAAAAAATTAATTATATTCATTTTCAGAGCTGTTTACGACGAACTTTGGTACAATTTTTTTGACCGATATAAAATGTTCCAAGCGCGGGACACTTGTTTCAGTTCTTAGGAGATTGCGCCCTGCAACTTGCAACCATTGATTTTTCAAAACTAATTTAACGTCCGGGAAAGTTCTCTTTGTAACAACGTTTAGTCGCCGAGAACGTATTCGCCAGCGAGTAGCGTAGTAAACTGGCTGCTTGTAATCGACGGAAGCGTAAAGACCTTAGGAAGCTCTCGTCCAAAGAACACATCGCCGCCTGTCGCCAACCCCGATAATATTATCGGGATATACATATATACAGGGTGGGGCAATAACTATGTCCACTTTAAATATTGCCGTTATTTGTAATAATATGAAAAAATGTTATTTGGCGAACGTTTACTGGTACATTTTCTAATAAAGTCCCCAATCTACTTCGTATAAAGTGTGCATATCGTTCGCCAGTAATGAAAGAAAGTTTATTTTACTACCACATTTGACCTTGCATGACCTTCAATGATAGCTCGCTGAAGTCGTCTCAACACCGGCTATCACATCGAGATAAAAAAAAACAGCATTTCATTAAAAAAAAATAGGGGTGACCTTGAAATCTCCTCTATGCCTTCGCCCACGCAGGAAATGTTTGTGGCACAATATGCCCCCTTCTATATCGTGTAAGTTTTGTATATAACATTTTTTCGTATTATTACAAATGACGGCAATATTCAAAGGGGACATAGTTATTGCCCCATCCTGTATATACTAGACATTTTCTATTACAAGCTCGTTATTCCGTTCGCGAACAACGTGGCTTTTCAAACCGTCTGGGAACGGTGCTTTCGGTAATTAGCGGCCTCCCTTCTCGCGTTCTCCAAGCCCCGCGCTGCGTAATCCACCTTCTCCGCGTAATCCAAGACCGCGATTCTTTCTGCAGCTCGGATGGAAATTTCCTTGATTCATCTGGCCGCTAAATGCGATAAGTGATTCTTGGCGGGACGTCTGAGAGGATTGTTGTACCGACCGCCTCGACGACCCAAAGAATTTCACGAGGTCGTTTGTCACGATTGGTCACCGAGAAGAACTGTTTGGGGATGCTGTTCTGCATAACCGTTTCGATCGAAATGAAATTAATACGGTGATTCGAGCAATGCGAATCGCAGGGTGGATCGTCACTTTGGCATTGCCTGAAATCTCTGGTGTATAAGGTGTGGCTTAATTTCGAGAATAAGTAATATGAACATTCTTATTTGAGAATTAGATTATGGAGCCATCGCCTTCATTCTAGGAATCTTGAGAATGTATACAAGCATTCCCGTATCGGATTCAATAAATAACTTGAAAATTTTATTTTGAGATATGGATAGTTGTTAGGTCATTGCCATTATTCTAGGCACCATGAGACTGTATACACGCATTTCAATGTCGGATCCATTGATTCTGACATTTCTGGTATTCAGTTTTTGGTAGCTGTTTTAATACCCGCGTTACATTAATTTGAATTTTAGGGAGTGACTGGAAATACGTTCCTTTCATGACTCATTTTACTCAGAAGAATAAAAAAAATGTTGCAAAGAGATCAATCATGCGAGTACAGCCACGATTATTTTCTCCCCTTCCCCGCTCGAAACAGCAGAAACACATGAAGCGGACGGAGTGGTTACTGACTCCAACCCTCCCCCATCCACGTCGCGCCCTTCCACAGACCGTTGGCTGTATGAAAATGTGGGTGAAAGCACTTGGCAGCGCGCGAGAGTCTGCGAATCTTGATCTTGGCAGTGAGTGCCGCTTGTTAGCCATAAGCGAGCGCGAGTTTAAGGCCATACATCTGCGGAGCCCGGGCAGAGGTACCGGAGCGGAGTGGCGATAAATGTAGTTGGCTCGGGCTCTCTTGAGCCGCGATCATTCTTCCGCCGTTTCCACCCCACTCTCGGAAAGGCGAGTCCGTGGTTTAGAGCATCATTTCGCGGAACGGCCGATTACATTTACGAGCACGACGAGAGAGATATCCCAACGAGGTGGTTGCGTCGCACACCGATAATGCCAGTTTTCCCGGCGCGTCTCGTCCGATTTTTACAAGGCTGAAAAACCAGGAGAATCGCAGTTGGAAAATCAGGGGAATCGCAGCTGGAAAATCAGGGGGATCGTGGCGGGTAAAAGTGGAGGATTTTGACGGGAAAAATTGGAGGATTGTGACGGGAAAAAGTGGGGGATCGTGGTGGGTAAAAGTGGGGGATTGTGGCTGGAAAAAGTGGGGGATCGTGGCGGGAAGAAGTGGAGGATTGTGGCGGGTAAAGCGGGCATCTTACGGCGAGACGCTAAATATCCGTGTGCTGATGCCGCCCGGTACGCTAAGTGCAAGAGGCGAAGCTCGTTCTACGGGAAAGAAGCCCCAGCGTATACTCCAGCTGCGCCGCCCTCAATGGCATAATTGCGAGTAACGATACCTCCTGCAGAATGGTATCCGACAATTTTTTGTCGCATTACGAACACGTTATAGTCCGTAACCAGGAAGCATGCTTTGTCCCGACGATTTTGTAAGCTTCCCAAGGGATACGCCCCCCGTTCAGTTGGGTAAAATCATCGTGATTGGTGTGGTGCAACGATTCTCCGGATACGAGGATAGTAGCTTTTTTTTCACTTTCGAAATTTAATGACGCATGTCGGAGAGGAATTTGAATACAGTAGGACCTTGATTAACCGAATCACGATTATCTGTAGTTGCGATCAATCAGGGTCAAAAGGGTCTCGGCTCATCGAGGGTCTCGTAATTCATTAACCCTTTGTAGCCCCGAGTGACTTTGAACTTACGTACAAGTACATCGATATTTTTTCGATCTAATTTATTTTTTTGCCGTTATGTGATGTATACAGGGTGTTCTGTAACCTCTCTTTGGTAACCGATAAGATTCTTTGTAGCGATTGTCAACGCTAGCTTGAGATATCAGAGTAATAGTAAAATCTTTGAAAATTGTAAATTCATTGTTAATTTGTATTTAGAGGTTGACATTTGTTGGTTCCACGTTAGATCAATTTTTGTATAGTCACGAAAAGAGTTCGGACTGTAGAGGGTTAACAAAGAAGGAGCGTCTCTTATGACCCTTTTTTGTTTTTACAGAATCCCTCTTCCATTAATTCGTGGCAAAGCACTTGTAAATGCAACATGTACAAAATAAAAGATATGTAAGCAGATACGTCTGGCTATACTTATATTGTAAAAAGGAATATATCTACAATATATTTACAGTAATTTCTCCCCAGGTCTTGATTTATCCGAAATGCTTTTATCCCGGTTAAGCTGGTTAATCGTAGTCCTGCTGTATTTTGAAGGAATTATATTAGATTTTGGTGCGATTGTTGAAATCAGATTTTTTTCATGTAAGTACAGGCAGCTGCGTGTCTTAGTCATTTATTGTTTCTACTGGTGGTATTAACGAGTGCATGAGTATACTTGGCGAAAGAAGAAAAAAAACGAAGAGATCGTAAAATTGATTGAGAACTAAGGTACTTGTGTTTGAATTGAACGAGTTAACAGAAATATGGAGTGCGAAAGGTCTTAGTGTTATCTACCTACAGACGTTGCAGTTCAATGTTTTCACTGTCTCAACTCGAGAACAATGGCTATTTAAATACAGAATGAAACTTCACCGTCTGAAATGCTAATTGAAATTTCCAGCTTTCCTGCCAGCAACGGAATCACAGTTACTCATTAGTACTATTTTCTTCATGAGCGACGTAATTAATATATAGGGTGACCCAGCAATACGTTACAATATTTAAGGGGTCTTGAAGGAAGAAAGCAGAAACAGATGAGACACGATATTATTACACATTTTTCTTCCAATTGAGAACGACTATAAAAATATCGTATCAAGTTCCTGAAACACCCTGTATATAGCCCTGCATCGTCCATCATAGAGTCTTTCCGAGGGTCAATCTACCTTAAGACTACACGAAACAATTTTTAAATTCAATTTTCTTCAAAACAGGGCCTTATACGAACAAATGTTCTTCCATTTACATCACTACTCTATTCCATATTTCTAGGACATCCTGTACAACGGAGGGACGAGACACGGACACATGCGAACAGGTTTAGTCAGCCACGCGAAAACACTGTTCGAGGCTTGACATCTGTAGACGGCCGAGTGAACGTCGTGCCGGTAACCCTCCGCTCTGAACGGCAAGAAGTACATCGAACCATTCACCAGCGTCTCGCGGATGTTCGGTATGGGGATCACCGGTGACATGTCGCCCATAAGCCAATCAATCCTCGGCGGCGGGCTGCCTTGGGCCGAACAATGGATCATTGTTCCGGTCTCGTTCGAGAATTCGACCGCCGAGCGTGGCTCCGAGATCAGCACTGGACCCTGACTATCCAGCACCACACCCCGTCCTGAAACATGTAATACAGCGTGTTAGGTTTAAACAAGGATCGTGTCCATTATATAATAACCATCGACTGAAAAAGGTGTGCCTTGAAGGGACATATGCTTTCCATGGCGCTGATAGACTCTTGGTTTTCTCTTTTGTATACGAATCGGGGATTCTCCGAAGATTGTCTAGAGTAATAATAATTCGAGAAGTATATGATACGACCTGTAAAATTCGGAACTACCTATATCGGTTTTTGGATTTTTAATACTACAGTAGAATTCATATTAGTTCCAAGAACTGTTCAAATTATTTAGGCACGCCTGTTTTATGTCTACTGTTGACATTTGTCGCTCACACGATGGGGTGGTAATTGCATTTGGCTGATAGCCAAATATTCTGAATATTCAATATCCAAATATTGGGTATACTTATATTTGATGAAACTGTTAACAGAGGAAGATAGGTCTGTTTTGTACAGATACTGTAGTATTATGTGGGTATACATATATAGTGTGTTCGGTCACTAGGGTCAGAACTTTTAAGAGATAATTCTGCGTGTTAAAATAAAACGAAAATCAAGCATGACGAAATTGTGGTGAAAGTTTCGTTGTCAAATTATTAACAATCAAAACTTCGGGTTGGAAACTTTTAAGAATACACCTTTACCTCGTGGCCAAAAAAGTGATGCGTAACATTTAAACTCGAGCCTGGAGTATCTTCTTGTGACACTTCGTAAAAAAACACACACGAAACGATGCAAGATATTGAACTAATACTACAGAAAAATTCGAAGGTTATTTCGGATCGACTAGATCTGTTCACGTTGACGACCAGCACCGAACTGAGGAAACGTTACTCGAATTCCACGCAGAGGACCGAAAAGTAATTGAAATATCTAAACAGTGAGTGGATATTGTACTACCTGTCCCTCGACAACGTCATTAACGGTCGCGCATGACCTGTGGATGTTGGGATTGTACCAAGGAAAATGTATATATCACATGTTTGGCTGAGACGTAAGATTGTATTTTTTTTAGGCGAAGCCATTATACTCACCGTGACCCTCGTGCCCTATTCTTACCGCTTGTACGCAGGGTACCTGGTTTCAGGCCTTTCTGACCTTGATTTCCGATCGTTAATAAGTCAATAACAAAGATTCCAACGCAACTTCAACATTTTTGATTTTTGTTTCATTTTGACATGTAGAATTTCTGAAACCAGTTGCCGAACACACTTTATATGAAATAGAAGTTGGGCACCTCTGTGGTAATTGACAAGCACGAAGCGTATTAATTACCAGGTGTTGATTTTTCTAGATAAAGTCACTTTATGCGTTACTTATCGGCAAATAACAGATACACAGATCAGAAGTATATATTCCATCGGAAAATAGATCGAACAGTAATGTTCAGCCCGAGATAAGAAACAACTGAGCCCAGAATTTTCTTCCCGATATAAGGATTCAGCGGTTAGTTTGAAAGTTCTTCGATATTTTCCTAGTATCGACGGCGAAGAGCTTATATCTCGAAATGCGCGAAACGCCTGCATCTCTATATGTATCTATAACGCCGGCAAACACGGGGGACCTTTCATTTTGTTGCGAAGCGTCGCTGCTAGACGAGTAATAACACGGGAATCGATCATATTCGGTCTTCGTCTTGTCAGTTATTACGGGCGGCGCGACATCATTTGCATTTTTCACGTAAAGCCAGCAGGTTCATCGTTCACGCAGAACGGCATAATAGGAGGCTGTCTTGGTTGTTTATCTTGACTTATGAATGCATAACTCTAAGTAACTAAAATACTCTATTCTTATTCTCCAAAACTACCAATTTGTCAGAAGAATAATTTCAAACGAACACAATCAAATTGCCAACAAAATTAGACTTACGATACAGTAAATCCTCGATGAATGTTCGAAGGCTCCTCGGCACTGACAAGAAGAGGTCCTCAAGTGTAACGCTGACTTTGTAATGAGGTTTAGCACAGTGATGGAATTTGGAATTCTGAAGCCAATGATATTTGTTCTAGCCGCATATGGGCATTAATTTATGAAATATTTAATGCTCAGTGCCGAGGAGCCTGCAAACACTAATCGAGTATCTACTGTATTAAAAGATCAATGTCCATAATTCCAAAAGCGAAATCTGAAACGAAAATAAATATACCCGTTTTCGAGGGTAGGCAAGATACGTACAAGCGATAGTGTATATTTTATAAGTAAAACGCGAATTTTTATGGAAATATAACATTTTATGGACGAATCTCTCGAAAGTGGACACAAAAATAAATATATTTTCCCTGTTAAAGGTTTGAATAGTTTCGAAATAAAAAGAAAATCTAAATAAACATTCTAAAACTGTTTACTGTACTGAATTTTAGACAATCGGATATTCTATAAATGTATAAAGTCCGCAGTTTACTTACAACTTTCCAAGTCCAGGTAACATCACCGATCGATGACGAAACAACAAGGATATCAGACACGATACCCAAATAAATGGTAACCGAACTATCTTCCCCGCCGGCAGTAAAACTCGCGTCGTACGTGCACCCGAGGCCTGTTCAATAGCGTGCGAATCGCCCCTCGCCGCAGCTCGCTGCGATTGCAACATTTACCGCCAGCTCTCCCTCCCCCTCGATCTCTACTCATATCATTTCCGCCCGGTGTCTATCCCTCGTTTTCTCTTTTATATCCATTGTCTCTCCATCCACAGCACCCATCCCTTCCCTCTTTATGCTTCCCCTCGCGGTGCTCCTTCGAACGAGAAAATCTGATAGAGCACATCTCGGGACGCAGCTGATGCCAGCACTGTCGCGGAAGAGCTTTGTCCCCAGGAATTCCGGGAGCTTGTTTTTCGGCGATCGGATGGGGAACACACAGAGCCCAGGGACGAACGAGGGCGGTGATGCGCATGGGAAATGAGCCTAGGTACAGGGAAGGGTACAGGCTGGAAGGAATAGGTTCCATTATGTATGAACGCCGGTTTGATAACCTGGATGCCGATACGCGGGAATCCGGAAGACCGGTAAGAGTGCACACCCTAGGGGAGGGGGACAGGGTGGATGTATTGCATTCAGCCAAGTGGTACCACTCCTGCATGCACCGGAAAGACGTTTATGTTCGGCCGCTTCCTGCGTTCTACGAGCATGATACACCTGCGTCACCACCGGTTTACAGTCCACCCCCTACACCCGCCTACTCTAGCTACTATATTCCGCTCTATACGTGACTGCGTACGGTCGACCCATATACGCAGACTGTGTCCCAGCGCGTATCGGTGCGCACAGCGGTCGGAAGTCTCCGAAACTTGGCAAAAATGCTAATCTCGTTGTTACCCGTTTGGTTTTATGCAGAAAGTTCTCGTGGTAGAGAGCGTGGATACAGTGTTTGTGTATCTCTGGGAATCGATGGTGGATTCAGATACCTGTGAGAAAGGTATTGTTTTTTGGGAGCATAGCGATGGCGTATGCAGAAGCTGCCAGATGTTGAGAGAATTGAACTGTATTTTAGAGGATTTTTCTTTCGGTCACTTTTATATTGTCCGAGGATTAAAAGTAAACTAAGTCGATTTACTTGAGCATTAGCATTCAATTGTGTTTTTCGTGGTTATAAATATTATACGTTCATAGTCGATTTCTGAGCTGGAAAGGGAGTGTGAGTACGTACATATCGGTGGTAAAGCCAGAAGTTTAGATAATATAGTACAGCCTCTCGTATCCGAACTAATGGGGAGACAAGGGTTCGGATAATGTATGTGTGTGTGTTGCAGGTGTTCGGATATGGAAGCATTTACTGTATAACAAATGTCCAAATTATGCACCAAATGAAAATCCCTTGAATAAAATGTGCGTAATACACTACGATACATCAGAAACAGGATCTGAGATTGTATGTTTCCTAATGCCATAAACATTCCACTATAAAAGATACAATTAAATTACTGTGTACGTAAAGCAGTCTGCAGCTGCCAGTGAAACTCGTCGTAAAACAGTTATTAAGGATGCAAAGGAACACTGGCGCAGCCGAGTCAAGGAAAATCTACGTCGTCGTGTTCGCGAATAGATTGAATGAGACGGTACTTAACTCGATGACCCATATTCCCTTGTTTCTACGCTCGGTTTACGATTACGCATTTGGGCGCAATAGGATGAGGTCCTTTAAAAGCACCGGTTCATTTGCATCCTACAGTTCATCAAAGTATTCTCCTGTAACATTTATCCGCGTGGAATGATTTAACGAGTCATCTATGGTTGTGAGGTAAACAAATAGCGATTTTTCGGGAATTTTTCAGGGAAACGCGTGTGTTTTTATTTTGACGAACGTTTCTGTATTTAATAGAGGCACATTTAGAGGATGTTTTGTTAAATTTTCGTGTAAAAATATTGATTTATTTAAGAATTGTGTAAGAGTTCCCGTAGAGCCTTTTTAAAAAGGTGATTCGCGAAGACCACTCCTGTCCAGAATTGGATCATCTAACATCGAAATTTAGTTGGTATATTAATTTATCCAATCCCTAATCGAAGTATTTTAGGAAAAAATCATTTCAGACAAAATGGCCGCTTAAAATTAAGTAACCGATTTTCATTTTAAAAAAATGCTCATTTTTCGACTGTAAAATAAAAACTAAACATTTAAAAATAAAATCCTTCGATTAAAGGCTAGATTTTTACACATGAAATGAGCCCTTAAAATTTGTTACGAATCCGTTCAACGCGATTTTTTATTAATCCTGGTCACCGAGTTTGAAAATTTTGTTTCGAAAAAAGCGCGTTTAAAGATTCAAAATAAATTTACGTGTGAAACAATTTTTTTTTAACTTTGACAGTCATCTATTCCAGGTCCATATAGTAGACTTCCTGTTGCATTGGCCGCCTCTAAAAAGTTAATTTGATGCTGAATTTTTTAAAATATCTAACCAGAGATTACCCCCGAAGAACACTGTTCTGATCACCGTTTAAATGTAGAACCTTACGGAAATCCCTATGATTGTCCCTATGAAGTGTTTAGAGACTATC